CTGCTGAACTACCGACCTTCCACAGCCTGCAGTTCAGCGTCTTAACCACTTGAGCCACCGCAGCTCCTTAGGGATTTGCAGACATGTTCACAAATCCAGATTTTGAGTATTATGCAAAGGCAGTATGATTCTTTAAAAAAAAACACATAGTAACCGTTCCTGGAGGAATTGTATAGTTCTCGATGCTTGAAAAAAGCAAAGAACATTCTGCAGGATTTGTCACACCCTGAACACTCCCTGTTTGAACTGCTGCCTTCGGGTAGATTTTGGGGGTAGGGTAGGATATAAATTTTAAAAATAAATAAACAGGTATCGTGCATGCTTAACCTTCATTTGCTGAACCTTCCATTATTGTGAGGATGCTTGTCCTCTTGGTACACTAGGACCTGTGCAACAAGGAAACAAGTGGCAGCCCACCAGGGACTCATTGGTCCTTTCCGCACTTGGATTTGATCCCTGGTTTTATCAGAGTTCAACTCGCGACACAATGCTTTGCATGTATCCCTGGTTATAACAGCATCCGTTTATCATAGAATGTTAGAGTTTGGAAGGGACCTTGCATCTAGTCCAACCCCCTGCACTCTGCAGGAGTATAGCCGAAAGATAGCCCTACAACATACCTGAAAGATGGTCATCCAGCCTCTGCTTGAAAACATCCAGCGAAGGAGCATCCGCCACCTCCCGAGGCAGTCTGTTCCACTGCTCAACCACTCTTATGGTTAGGAAGTTTCTCCTGATATTTAGCCGGTAACGACTCCCTTGTAATTTCCACCCATTAGTTCTAGTCTTGCAATCTGGAGCAAGAGAGAATAGATCCGCTCCATCTTCTATATGACAGCCCTTCAAATACTTGAAGAATGCAATCATGTCCCCTCTAAGCCTTCTCTTTCCCAGGCTAAACATACCCAACTCTTTCAGCCTTTCTGTCACGTTAGAGCCAGGGAGGCAGGCAGACAGGGGGAGTCACAATACAAGTCCAAAGGTCAGCCGGGAGAGCAGTCAGCAGAGCATTAAACAAGTCCCAAAACACCAGACAAAGCCGTAGTCAAACCTTACCAGAGGTCAGAGTAAAGGGAGTAAAGCCGAGGGCGTGGTCAGGTTCAAAGCTGGAAGTCAGGAGTCAGAGCAGTCCAAACACCAGCCGAGTCCAAAAGCCACAGAGTCAAACAGGAATCAAGGTGCAGAGCTTCTGGTTCTACGAACGAGGTTGCCAGCACAAATTGCTCATGGCCGGAGGCCCTACTAAGTAGTGCTCTGGCCCATTAACTCATTAGCACCTTTGTGCGAGGTCCTGGCTGCTGTTAAAACTCAGGGCTCAAGGATCTCCTCCCTCTTGAACGTGCTTCTTTTCGTCCTAAGCCTACTTACATGTGGGGGGAGATGCAGGTGGTGAGCTGCTTATGGCCTGCTCAATCCCAGGTGCAAACCGTCCTGTAGTTGACTCAGATTGCTGTGTATCCTCCTCAGTACTTACAGTAGGTGCAGATCCTGATGCTTCTTCAGCTCTTAAAGGCACTGAATCCTCCCCTCTTAGGCTGTCAGGAGCTGGCTCTGGGGCTGAGTCAAGCGCAGGCATGACACTCTGGGGACCGAACCAGGATTTAAGGTCTAGTGCGGAAAGGACCATTCAGAGGCAAATTAAGGTTGCGGTCACACGCGGCAGATAAAACGGGGGGGGAGTGAGACTATTCCCTCCGGAGGAATTTGACCGACAGTTGCGCGATCACACAGTCCTTTGGAGCTGTGGGCACTGCGTGATCGGACACAACCATGGGTGAGTTGGGGGATTTTTTTGGCCGTTTGCTTTGTTGGAATTGCAAGTTGCTTACACTTCAGTCATTACAGAGTTAAATGTTGTTTGTTAGGAAACAGGATGTTACGTTACATCAGGGGTCGTTTCGTAGAAAAAGAGCTAGGGGAACTCATTAGCATAACTCATTAGCATATGCCACACCCCCTGACATCACCGGAAGTGTGTCATAAGGCCACACACCCCGCCCCCAACGGTTCCGGCCGCCACTGCCGGCCTTGCAGCTCCACTGCCGAGCCCCATGAGGGGCCCGGCGGTGGACCTGCAAGGCCGGCGGGAGTGCAAGGAAGCCCCGCGAAGGCCCTCCCTGGCCCCAGGCAGGCAGGGGGGGAGAGAGGCAGGGAGGAAGCAATGTACCCTCCCTCTTCTCCTGCCTCCTCCTAGCTGAATGAGGGCCAAAAAAACCCCCAACGGTCCCGGCCGCTGCCGCCGGCCTTGCAGCTCCACTGCCGCCGGCCTTGCAGCCCTATGAGGGGCCCGGCGGTGGACCTGCAAGGCCGGCGGGAGTGCAAGGAAGCCCCGCAAAGGCCCTCCCTGGCCCCAGGCAGGCAGGGGTGGGGAGAGGCAGGGAGGAAGCAACTTACCCTCCCTCTCTCCTGCCTCCTCCTGGCTGAATGAGGGCCGGAAGCGGGGCGGCCGGAAGCAGGGGGTGGGGCTTCATCATGTGCCCCGCCCCCCGTACCTCACCCGGGGGAACTGCGATCCCCTGCGATCCCCCCCGAAATGACCTCTGCATTACATAATGTATTCAACGGCGGGAAAGTTTGTGGGAGTTGTTTATCCTAATGAAGTGACCTGTATTGTAACCTTTGTATTGGTCAACTAACATCTTGTTTGTAGAAATGTTTTGATCTAGCATTAATGTATTCACAAGTTTATGGCCCTTTGTGTGAACCAAGGAATAGCTCTGGCTCTTCGGCTTTGAAATGGAGATGAGCACCGCAACCCTAGAGTCGGATTCGACTGGCTTTCAAGCAAGGGAACCTTTACCTTTTAATTCTGTGGAACAATAAAAGTATAGGAGCCTTGCTGGCCTCACCGGGCAGGCCATTCCACCGGGCAGGACTTGGAGCAACCACAGTGAACACTGAGAACAATGTCTGTGAACTATGAGAAGTGAAAGGACAAGGAATGGACTGCTTCTTAGAAGAAGGTGCATTGAGAGATGCACTTGGGAAGCATTCCATGTATAGAAGGGAATGTGGCCGCTTGGAAGGTTTCCCCTGGGTGTGAAAAGAATTTCCCCCATTTATATTCAAGGTGAAATAACCTGAGAAAGTGGCTTCCTTTCCAGGGGAGGGTTGAAAAATGTCAAGTGAGCGTTCCCACCATGATTACACTGCCCAGTGTTATGTTTGTGTGCATTTGAAGGGACATTAAGAAATGGGATTTCTAAAAATCTAGAGATGAGATCTAAAGAGTTTTGAATGGGCACCAGAACTGGAACTTTCAGGAACTTTCAGGGTTCCCCTCTCAACTGCTGCTCTCCTTGTGACTCTGGATCTCTTCCATCTGTGGGGACCTAGGAAATGAAATACATTTAAGGAAAGAACAAGAATTCAAAAGAAACTCTATTCTAAAGTTAAGCATCCGGGGCTCTTTTATGTCAATAGAATATTTAAGCACATACTCTCCTGTCTCCCATTGAAATGCTTAATTCCCCCCCCTCCTTCTGTGTGATTGTGTGTAAACTTAAATATGGGACCCAGGAAGAAAGAGAAGAGAAGAGGAAGAGGAAGAGGTTGGATTTATACCCTGCCCTTCACTACCCAAGGGAGGCTCACAATCTCCTTTCCCTTCCCTTCCCCTCCCCACAACAGACACCCTGTGAGGTAGGTGGGGCTGAGAGAGCTCTTGACAGAAACTGCTCTTTTTCAAGAACAGCTCTTATCAGAACTAAACCCGGCTCTCCCAGATTAGAGTCCGCGCACTTACCCACTACACCAAACTAATTCTCAAGAACAGCTGTTATCAGAGCTATGGCTTGCCCAAGGTCATCCAGCCAGGTGCAAGTGGAGGAGTGGGGAATCAAATCCGGCTCTCCCTGATTAGAGTCTGCCCACTTAACCACTACACCAAACTGGCTCTCAAGAACAGCTGTTATCAGAGCTTGCCCAAGGTCATCCAGCCAGGTGCAAGTGGAGGAGTGGGGAATCAAACCCAGCTCTCCCAGATTAGAGTCTGCCCACTTAACCACTACAGCAAACTGGTTCTCAAGAACAGCTCTGGCCCAAGATCATCCACCAGGTGCAAGTGGAGGAGTGAGGAATCAAACCCGGCTCTCCCAGATTAGAGTCTGCCCACTTAACCACTACAGCAAACTGGTTCTCAAGAACAGCTGTTATCAGAGCTATGGCTTGCCCAAGGTCATCCAGCCAGGTGCAAGTGGAGGAGCGGGGAATCAAACCCAGCTCTCCCAGATTAGAGTCCGTGCACTTAACCACTTAACCAAACTGGTTCTCAAGAACAGCTCTGACAGAACTATGGCTTGCCCAAGGTCATCCAGCAGGTGCAAGTGGAGGAGCGGGGAATCAAACCCAGCTCTCCCAGATTAGAGTCCGTGCACTTAACCACTACACCAAACTGGTTCTCAAGAACAGCTCTGACAGAACTACGGCTTGCCCAAGGTCATCCAGCAGGTGCAAGTGGAGGAGTGAGGAATCAAACCCGGCTCTCCCAGATTAGAGTCTGCCCACTTAACCACTACACCAAACTGGCTCTCAGGAACAGCTGTGCCAGAAGCATGGTTTGCCCAGGGTCATCCACCAGGTGCAACCACTACACCAAGGAGGAGTGAGGAATCAAACCCGGCTCTCCCAGATTAGAGTCTGCCCACTTAACCACTACACCAAACTGGCTCTCAGGAACAGCTGTGCCAGAACCATGGCTTGCCCAGGGTCATCCAGCCAGGCGCAAGCGGAGGAGTGGGGACTCGAACCCTGCTCTCCCAGATCAGCGTCTGGGCACTTAACCGCTACACCAAACGGGAAACGGCGCTGGGAAACGAGAAGCCCCTTCCTTTCATTAGCACAGCGCGCCCGCCCCACCTGCCGGCCTCTCGGTCGAGGCCGGGGCGCGCCCCCTAGCGCCGCTTCTCCCGAACGCTACTCCGCCACCTGCGCGCAGGAACCTCGAGGGGAGCGCGTCCGCCGGTGCGCGCGCCGAGGCGACTTCCCCGGGGAGCCAAGCCGGGCGAGGCTCGCTCTCCCCCTTGCCATGGAGCGGAAGGTGGCCCGGGAGTTCAGGCACAAGGTAAGAGAGGGGCGCCCGGCCCGCTCGCACCACCTGCTGAGCGCGCTCGGCTGCTCTCCCGCTGGCCTGCCTTGGCCCCGTACCTGTAGGAGCGGAGGAGAGGGTGGCATTTCTGCCGGGACTATGGACTCTCGGTGTCAGTTGACTCGGCGGACCGTGCCGGGAGGGAGGGGACGAGGAAACGTCCCTTTCAGAAGGACAAAGCTTTCCTCCGCTCGGCGCTGGGAGATTAGGCGGAAACTCTTTCGGGAGAAACGGACCGCGCCTGCCTTTCCCACCCTTGCGCCGGGCAGGTGTAGGGAGGGGGCCCGTCCAGCCTGCGTGCCGTTGGCATCCATCCTGGGCTTGGAGTCCAGACTATGTTCCCTCTAAGCTGTGGACTCTAGAGACCTCTCAAAGAGGGGAGAGGGCCGCTATTCAGAGCAACTTTAAGGCGCCGATCCCCGCGCTTTTTCAACGCTAGGGAATGCCCTCTCGCTTTTTTCTTCTTAAACTTTAGAGCATGTTCTCCTCTCACTGCTTTCCAAACGCTGGCATCAAGGGGGAGCTGCAGAAGCTGATGCCCCCTCCCCCTTTTTCGTGCTTCTTTGTCAATGACCCAGAGAGACTTGGCAGAGCTAGGTGTGTTGCATAATAGTTCTTTTGTTTTTGTTCTAAAATGGGGCGGGGGGGATGGTGAAAGCAAGCCAACTCTGAAACATTCTGGACCCAGAAGTATAAGGGCACTCCTTTTCACGTTTATTCGACCACTTTTTTCATTCTGTTAAGGCCCTACATTGCATGTGTGGTCTGGCAGATAAGGTGATTAAAACATTGTCCTTAGTGGATGCAGTGAAGTGTAATACTGGGAGTCCGCTTCCACACAAATGGGTATTATTTTTCATAATTATCTCAGAATGGGTGGGAAGGAGGGATTTCAAAGGCTTTTTGTCAGTCTTGTACAACCTTTAATATTTTTATACACACTTCTGAGAGATTTTATATAGCAAAGTTATGCCATAAACCTTAATCTGTGATCTAGATGATCACAGAGATGATGTAGACAGCCTTCCTGTACAAGAAAACATGACCTTAAATGTCTTCCTTACCCCCCTTATCAAGGACACTGCTTAGAATATGATCAAAGTATATTATTTAGCAATGTACTGTCATTTTTAAAATATTGTATTTGTTATAGCCCCTCTTGCAGTTATTGGCATCTGTTTTCTTTTGATATCCTAATTACGAACATTTATTTCTCTGGGAACAATAATTGATTTCAATAGGGTAAATGGCAAAAATCTCTCACTCTCGGTTTCTTATAGCTAAGAATGAAAACAATCTGACCAAACGTTAGGTCAGGTGTACAGAAACATCAGGATGTGGAGAAATAGTTCTAAATATGAAATGTAAAGATATTTGCACGAGTTTGAAAAGATACCTGTTTGCATGAGTGTTGTTCATGCCTGTTGACTAATAGCATCGGTCTGGGCCCACAGCAAGCACATTTCAACGATAGCTCTAAAGTGATATTTATGGTTGTACTTTGCACTTCTGGCCTTTGTTGCTGGCAATATTCATAAATCAATACGAGACCAACTAGATTTACCTTTCTGAACTTTTCCTTTCATCATAGTCTCGTAATGAACTAATGAGTAAATTTGGCATTTCTCAGAATCAGAGTGCTCCGTTCAGCTTAAATATATTTCAGGCTGAACAAATACTAAGCAGTAGCGTCAAGTGGGTAGCGTTTTTTGACTGAAGTAATAGGAAAAAAGTTTGGGTCCAAGTGGCACCTTTAAGACCAACAATGTTTAATTCTGGATATAAGCTTTTGTGTGCATGCACGCGAAAGCTTATAGTAGCAGTAGAAAAGAGCAAGAGTCCAAAAGTACCTTAAAGACTAAGAAAATATGTGGCAGGGTAGGAGCTTTTGTGAGTCAGGGCTCACTTCTTCAGCAGCAGCAGTAAAGCGACTTGCATAATAGTGATATAACCTATAACTGTTTTTCTTATTTAAATCAAGACTCTGTAAATGCAAGCTTTTATTATTTTTGTAGAAGTTCAGAAAATATCCCTTTAATATTGGATGCATGTGAATTCATTGTTCATTCTTATTTTTGCAGAGGTTTATTGACTTATAAAATAATTAGCATTCTTTTGCATGGCACTTTCTAGCTCAGCATCTGATGCATGTAAATTAGACAAGTGTCTGAAGCCTGTTTAGCCCTATATCTCATTTAGTTCAATTGACTAAAACAGATTTAAATGCATCCTAATCTAATTGAAGTGTTTTATGCGTTACAGTTATGACTTCAGAATCTAGCCGTCGTGAATTATTTTCTTATTTTATGGCTTTGTTGCTGCTAGAAAGGCCAAGAAATGTCAAACAGAACATTACTGCATGGTTTATGTCTCTTGTAGATTTAGTGGCCCATTCACAGTTGTGCATTCAGAAGCTTCTCAAAGGCATGCTCTCATAAACATTTTGGTCAGTTTGTTTAATGTTTTATAGACAGAGGACGTCTACCCACCAATGCTGTTTCTTTTCTTTTTTTAATATTTCTTTATTGCATATAAACAAACAAGAATATAAAACATGGGGTAAACGTTTCAAATCTTATCTCATAGTTACGCCTTAACCGCGTTATTCATTACCTATTCATATCACTTTTCCAGGATAATAGAATTTTATAGATCTCTTTCCTCAGATTTTAATTATATGACGCTTTTAAATTGTCATAGTTTCCAATCCAAGTATAACATTTTGACCAAGTAAAAAAGGTAAAGGTTCCCTTCCTCGAAAGCCAGTCGAGTCCGACTCTAGGGTTGTGGTGCTCATCTCCATTTCCAAGCCGAAGAGCCAGCGCTGTCTGAAGACGTTTCCGTGGTCATGTGGCCGGCATGACTAAACACCAAGGCGCATGGAACGCTGTTACCTTCCCACCGAAGTGGTCCCTATTTATCTACTTGCAATTTCTTGCTTTCGAACTGCTAGGTTGTATTTCTTCTGTTTAGTTTTTCATGAGTAACGAAAGTTTATCAATTTTTGCTATTTTGAGTATTTTGGTCATAGTTTCCTCCTAGGATTGCCACCCTCCAGCTAACACCTGGAGAGATCCCGCTATTACAAGTGGTCAGGTGACCAAGATCAGTTCCCCTGGAGAAAAGGGCTGCTTTGGAAAGTGCACTCTCATGGCATTATACCCAGCTGTGGTCTCTTCCCTCCCCAAATCCCACACTCCCCAGGTTCCTCCCCCGCAAAATCTCCCGGTATTTTCTTTTTTTTAAATTATTATTAACATTTTTATTAATTTTATAAAAATACAAATATAACCATTAAACAATAGAAATATACCAAGATATTCAAACTGATATATTACATATAACGAATAAACAAACGCTTAATAAATCAGTCTATACCCATACAATGAACAGTCGAATAAAACACAAAATCTGTGTACTTTTTTGGTAATTTGAAACTTTGGGACTGATAGGCGTTAATGTATTCAAAAAAATACAAACCATTTTTCAGCAAAACCGATAGCGAAATTGTGATTATCGTTTAAAGATAGTTACATTGAGATTTTATCCGAAATAATATTAGACTTCCATTGCGCTAGTGTAGGAGCTTTAGTGTTTTTCCAATTTAGTGCAATCAAAATTTTTCCCGCCAATTAGAAAATTGATATCACTTCCTCAGTCTGTTTCCTACAACCAAGAGCTTGGAATCCTATAAAGCACAGGGATAACATTAATCTGCTCTTTCCTTATCACTGTAGGGGTCGTCTGTAGCCATTTCACTCGCACATGCTGTTGGGTTTTTTGCTGATTGACAATGATGCACTGGAGCTCTCTCTTCCAAGTGTGCTGCAGTTAGACAATTGGTTTCCTAACCTCTGAACTTGTAGGGGTTCGGTTGCAAGAGGGAATCCATGAGGTGATTTGAGCATCGTCTCCGGCTGGTTGGCATGTCTCTGGCTGGCTGTCCGTTGTGCACTTAAAAAAAATCAAAATGCACCATCCAAAAGAAATATGTAATAATAAATAACAATACAAACCAACAACAAATCATCAAGTAAATGAAATTAAAAATTCTTTCCAAGCCTCCAAGTCACTGGCTGTGTATGCCCTGGTTCGATGCTTTTGGGAAGCGAGGTTTCCCCCCTGCTTCCCCACAAAACCTCCCGGGATTTTCCTGACTTTTCTTCCGTCTTTCTTTATACTGCTATGAGCAGGGCTCTTTTGGTAGAAAAAGCCCAACAGGAACTCATTAGCATAACAGGCCACACCCAACAGCAGAAACGCATTAGCATGTTAGGCCACACCCCTGACAGCACAGCTTATTAGCCTATTAGGCCACACCCCCATGTTACCAGAAGTGTGCTCATCCAGCCACACCCACCTTTTGCTTCTTATTCTGTTTACCTTGTTTATTGTCAAAACCCAGGGCTTTTTTGTAGCAGGAACTCCGTTGCATGTTAGGCCACACACCCCTAATGTAGCTGTTGGGTGTCGCTTATTATGCTAATGAGTTCCTGCTGGGCGTGGCCAACTCGGGAGCCAGCTGGAACTCCGTTCCTGTGCGTTCCTGCCCCAAAATAGCCCCGGCTATGAGTAGTTATACTGATTAGAGAGTCAGTGTAGTGTAGTGATTACAGTGTCAGACAAGGGTCTGGGAGAGCTGCATTCAAATCCCCACTCATGCCATGGAAGCTCACTGGGTGGCCTTGGGCCAGTCACACACACTCAGCCCAACCTACTTCACAGGGTTCTTGTGAGGATAAAGTGGAGGAGACGGGAGAGCACTGTAAGCTGCTTTTCGGTCCCCATGTAGGAGAAAGATGGGGGTATAAATGAAGAAAATTTAAAAAGTGCCTTTTTTAAATTTCAGAAGTTTCAGTGGCCCCTGGGTGTGTGTGTGAGGACCGTGGCAGGGATAATGTGGGGAAAAACCTGCCATGTGAAGTCCTGTTGCTTCTGTGCTTCATCAGCAGCTGCACTAGGAATGGGGTAATCAT